TCCAGCCCCTACTAGAGTCTCTGAGAGCAGGGACACTGACTGTCTTATTTAGCAATGTAATCCTCCAAAATCCAGAACACTGCCTGATAATAACAACTCTGCAATGACTGATAAATAAGCAAGTAAATATTTATGGACTTGTTCGTTTACCTCCAGTATATCCTCAAATATATACAAACCATGCCCCAGATATTGCATGAGACATTTTATTAAAAATTATTCGTTGTTCACCTGAAATTGAAATTTAACAGGTCATCCTGCATTTAATCTGGCAACCCTATCTCCACTGAAATTGTCCTTGTTGAAATTAAGGGGAATGATATTTTAGCTCACTTCCCTCATTTCAAGCCATATATGTGTTCAAATTCTTTTTTCTGCTGATAGAATTCTGCAGTTCCCACCTGAGGGGATAAACTTTATGCTAGGTACACTTCTTTCTCCTGCTAATTCTTTGATTTGACAGGATCCTAAGAAATGTAATTTTAATGACTTTGGGACCTATGGGATCTTCCATTCTTTCATGTTAGGAAAACCATAAAGTTCTCAAGGAGACTTAAATTTGTATGTGGGTATTTTACCTGGCTTTGTCTAACTCAAGATCAAAACTTAGAGTCTTTTTACTGCTATTTCCTTTGAGTCAGAAAATACTTCCTCATTGATGTATTTATATTATTCTTTCCTCATCAATATTGTAAAGTAGTCCATAATACCAATGTGTTTGAATAACAAGATTCAATAGAATTACTTCTCATTCTGAAAGAGCTTCCAATGGCCATTCTTTTAGAATACTTTACTTTGTTAATCATTGTAGACTCTGGCTTTTTAGACTAAATATATGACAATCAACCTCAGCCAATATTCTCTTTGATGCTCAAATTGTCACGACTCTGGCAAACATGAGCTCATTTTTTAAATTTTCTTTTAATTTTAAAAAAGATTTTATTTCTCAGAGAGAGAGCACAAGCAGGGGTAGCGGCAGGCAGAGCGAGAAGCAGGCTCCCCGATGAACAAGGAGCCCGATGTCGGACTTGATCCCAGGACCCTGGGATCATGACCTGAGCTGAAGGCAGACCCTTAACTGACTGAGCCACCCAGGCATCCCAACATGAGCTCATTTTAGATTGGTCCCTGTGTCATTTCAATAAAACCTCATCAAATTTGAGAGCCTTTTGGCACAACAAAACTGCCAGGCTCACCTTACATTTTTTCTGAATATAGAATTACCTATTTCTCCAAGGAACACTGAGGACACAGAGGGAGAAATATATGCATATTGGGGTTCACATTATTTCTGGGCAATTGCTCTTGGACAGAAATAAAAAAAGATAGGTATTTTATTGTGAAGAAATGAGTTAATATTGCTACTGCCAATCCAGTTTTACTTAAATTCTTAATTCTACAATTATACTCCTTTATCTTCTATGGGTAAATCTTCATTAAAAAATAATTTTTTTTTAAAGTAAACTCTACCCCCAACATGGGGCTCAGCCTCAGGACCCTGAGATCAAGAGTCACATGCTCTGCTGACTGAGCCAGCTAGGCACCCCCTTCATTTCAAACTAAATAAATATAATGGTTTATTTTTTTCTGACATTTCAAGTATAGTTCTCAAACAATTCAGTAGCCACACAAATGATACAATTACTGAATAAAGTGTAAAATCTTTTAGTCTTTTTTTTTTTTTTCTCCCATCACTGTCTTTAATGCTGCCTCCCCTTTTTAAAAATTTTATTTCCAGGGGTGTCTGGGTGGCTCAGTTGGTTGAGCATCCAACTCCTGATTTGGGCTCAGGTCATGATCTCAGGGTTGTGGGACTGAGCCCTGCATTGGGCTCCATGCTGAGGGCAGAGTCTTCTTGTCTCTCTCCCTCTGCTATCCCTGCTACCCCGGCTCTCTCTTAAATAAATAAAATCTTTCAAAAAACTTAACTATTTTCTTTTTTAAAAGATTTCATTTGGGGCGCCTGGGAGGCTCAGTCGGTTAAGCACCTGCCTTTGGCTCAGGTCGTGATTTCAGGGTCCTGGGATCGAGCCCTGCGTCTGGCTCCCTGCCTGAAGGGAGCCCGCTTCTCCCTCTTACTGTTTGTGCTTGCTCTGTCAAATAAATAAAATCTTAAAAATATTTTCATTTATTTGAGAGAGTGAGCGAGAGTGTACGAGGGGGGTGGGGGAGTGAAGAGCAGAAGGTGAAGCAGACTCCCCACTGAGCAGGGAGCCCGATGACACAGGGTTCGATCCCAGGACCCTGGGATCATGACCTGAGCCGAAGGTAGACACCCAACCGACTTGAGCCACCCAGGTGCCCCTAAAATGAGGTATTTCCTATTAGCTTGGTATAAAGTTTCTATGTCTTTAATAAGTTATATATTTTTAAGGCGTATAACATGGTAAATTTTGTTGTGTATTTTACAATTTAAAAAGTTGGGAAAAAATGATTGAAATGTGAACATATATTGGCTCTGACATTACTAGAAATGTAGTAATAAGAGTCAAAATTGGCTTATTCACCTAGAATCGTATTTTCGAATCATATACTTGGACTATATGTAAGTCACTGTAGATAAGACTAGATGGGGTGAAATTAAGCCATTACCTAGAAATGTGGATACAGCTGTTATTTCCCACCTCAAGACAGATCAGACACTTCTGTCTCCTCATAGCAGACAATCTCCACCAAAGAGAATTCTGGAGGTGGGTTGCAAGAGAAGAGCTGCTGCCCTGATTTCCAGGCTAGCACTTTGAGGTTATTCTAGAATTTATAAAGTCACAACGTATTTCCGGGGATGCACAAAGCTGTCACTTCATCCACAAATATACATGTTACTGGTGTGAGTCCCCTCAATTCATCAGATCACCACATTTGGGGAGACAAAGGGGTAGAAGCACTGCTGCCCCCAAGTGCCAGGGGTAGAATTGCAAGATACAGGATGCCCCGTTAAATTTGAATTGCAGAGAAGCACTGAATAATTTTTTTAGTGTTAAGTATGCCCCCAATATTATCTAGAATCCAGATTAAGTCCTGTACATCTGTCTGCGTATGTGTGTAAACATGCGTATCTGCGTGATATGGGGGGGGGGTGCTCGCAAGCATCTTCAGACCAAGACAGCCTGAAAGCCCCCTGGGGACAGTTTCTTCCCAGTCTACCAGGGGTTCTCAGCCACTCTCCTGGAGCCAAGGAGGCACTGCCTCCTAACCACAGCTGGACACTGGGACTGGAGCAGAGCTCAGGTATACCAGTTTCTCCCATTTGTTATGTTGTGTGAAGGTCCCCACACAGAAGCCACAGATCAACAGTGCACCCACTATTGGCTTTTTTTCTCCCCTCCTTTCCCGCTCCCTCACACCTGGCTTCCTGGAGCCATCTCCCTAAGCAACCTATCTGCCCCCAAGCCCTTGTTGCAGGCTGTCCTAGGGGAAACCCAAACTGTAACAGTCGGTACTGGAAGTGGCCCTAGAAACTGAGCCCTCAGGATGGGATTCTGGAATAGGTCACTCGCTGGTCAGATGGTTAGTAAGAGGAGCCTGGTAATGAGCGTGGTAGTCATGACTCCTGGCATGCTCTACCTGGCCATTATGAAGATTTCTACCAGGCACGGCAGGATATGAGGTTCTGCTAGAAGGGGAAGCATGAGTTTCTGAAACAGTCCTAGAACTTGAAACCTTATTGGGATAGTGGCAATTACAAGGACTGCAGGTTCTCTCTCAAGCTTTGAAGAAAGAAAATTATAGGCTTAGTTCAGCCAACTATCATTTCAGGGCATGTTGTGAAAGCCAAAGTCGCCCACAGGAGGGATTAAAGAGATCCCCATCTTCTGTAGCAAGAGCAGACTGGCCTGAAAACTAGCACAGGGTTGTGAGGGGGGCAGAACTGCAGAGACAGCTAAATACAAAGCCTTGCCAAGTCATTTATACCAAAATTCTGGGTCCTGATTGGGATCCTGATGCATCAGAAATCTGGGGAGGCGTGCTTGAGCACCTCAAGCCCCAAATTCTCCAGAACCCTCTGGTCTAACAAACGCATCTCCCTCCCCCCCTTGCTGTAGGAGAGTAAACTTGCTTGGAGACCATGCAAAGATCTCACCTGACTACAGTCAGGGAACAGACAGGATAGACTTAAAGGAATCATGCTGGATATTACTGAGTTGTGGAGTTTAGAAGGAAGTTTCAGAGTCAGATTTTCAGACTGTGGCAGAGACAGAATATACACAACCAAAATGCACACGAGGCTGACGAATGTTCTCCATGATGAAATAAATGTGTTCAGTATGCAGAAAAAAAAAAAGGCACAACATAGACCAAGATGCAGTTACTCTATACACTCTACCCCAATTTCCCAATATGCACCTTCACGAGTACGAGAAGTTCTAATTACCCCAAATCCAAATTTCCCCAAAACTAAAACCGGCAGGAATAGTTTCTTCTCTTGCGAAATGGTCAGTAACCAACATACCATTTAACAGTCCTGAGGCACCATTACAAGATGTTGTAAGTTTATTCCGAATCAGATTAAATTGTGTTCAATGTGGCTCAATTCTTTACAAATCTTATACTTCTCGAATATATGTTAAAACAGTTAAACAGTTTCAGTGTTCCTTCCTTAATTATACTGGATATACTCAGTTTAACTATAAAAAAGGCAGTGCCGGCCTGGCTTGGGACCCAAGACAAGGCGAGGGGACTGCGCCCTGGAGGGCTGGCCAGTGAGGAATGCTCCGCCGCCCTCCAGCCCCTCCGTGCCGCCATGCTACCACTGAGCACCCACTCCCCAGGCACCCCTTGATGTGTTATGAGTGAAACAAAATCTACGACTAGAGTTTATATCGCAATTACTGGGCTTCTCCCTAGCATCCATGGGCTAAAGTTTAATAAAAACAAAACCCACCCAGAGAGCATTACTTGACGGTTAAAGCACCTCTCCCTCTCCAGGGTGGACTCTCTGATGTTTGGAAAGATTTGACTTACTACAGAAGGTTTTTCCACAGTGATTACACCAGTAGGGCTTCTCCCCGGTATGGATTCTATGGTGTTTATTAAAATTTGAGCTGTGGTTGAAGGCTTTCCCACACTCCTTACATTTATATGGCTTCTCTCCAGTGTGGAGCCTCTGGTGAGAACTAAGACCTGCGTGCTGACTAAAGCTCTTCCCACACTCGTTACACTGGTAAGGTTTCTCCCCAGTGTGTATCCGATAGTGTCGGATGAGGCTGCCTTTACCACTGAAAGCTTTTCCACAATCTTTACACTGATACGGCGCCTCTTCGGTGTGCATTCGCTGATGTTTAAGGAGGTCTGAGCTCTGACCAAAGGCTTTCCCACACTTACAGTCATAGGGACGATCCACCAAGTGTGTTCTGTAATGAAGGGTGAGGTTTGAACTGTGGCTGAAAGCCTTCCCACATTTGGTGCATACATACGGTTTCTCCCCAGTGTGTGTTCGCCGGTGTTTGGTGAGATTTGAGCTATTACTAAAGGCTTTTCCACACTCGGCACATATGTACCGCCTCTCTCCTGGGGCAGGTTTAGCGGGAATCAATTCTCTGCCTTTCTTGGAACCTTTGTCTAGGAGAGGAGTTTTTGTTCCTCTTTCCTTTTCAAGGTTTACCCACTGCCTTTCTAACCTGGCCTCACATTTACTGGCAATAATCATGGGAATAACATCCCTTTTGAGTTCTTGAGATTCTTCAGAACTTTTCTGCTTGTCTGTTGATTCCTCATTCTGGGTGTTCGAGTTACAGTCTGAAACAAGAAGTAGAATAAGAACAGGTCAGTTGTTTTGTGTTCTGAGAAGAAACTGTTGAAGGAGAAATAAAACGTCAGCTGACATGGATGGTGACCAAGTATCGCTCAGTGAGAGGTCACAACAGGACAATGACACAAATAAGTCACCACCAGATCTAGTTTACAGCACAAGGCTTTCACACCAGCCCCCAGCAGCAGCTATGACGATATGAAGAGGACATAGCCTTCTTTGCCAGAAGAAGAACTTCATATAAAGAGGGCACGGAAGCAAAACCAAGCCTACTGGGACAGAAACAAAGGAGCTGGCGGATGCTCAGGCAGAAAGAAACGAGTAAGAAATATTACCAAATGGTCAAAGTTGATTAAGGAAAATAAAAAGGGTAATTAAGGGAGAGGAGGCTAGTGGCAAACTCATGAAATCCACATTGTCACAGAAGTGGAATATAAAAGCAACAAAAGACATGGAACACTACATCAAAAACTAATGATGTAATGTATGGTGATTAACATAACATAATAAAATTAAAAAAAAAAAAAATCAAACCAAACCAAACAAAAAAAAAGGCAACAAAAGAGGACATTCAGTCCACGTATGACCAGGCTAGTCCCAGCTCATTATTAGTTTAAATCAAAGTGCCCACCTCCCAGGAGGGTTTGATTCCCAGCACATACCCTACAGTGGCTGTCTCACCATCTTTTAGTTCTAAAGTTAATACTGCTAAACCAGACTGAAGCCATCTATCTTTTTTAGAGCACTGCACTAGGCAGCCACACTTACAAGTCCGTCTAACCCGTCCACATACACGGAAAAGGGGAGTAAGAGAAATCCACACTGAACCAGGGGCTCCCTGACACCTGTCGGCCCCCGAGGAGTACAGAAGCCTCTGCCAATGAGGTACCTTCCTCTCAGCCCCTTCCCTGGCCCCTGGCGTCCTCTCTCCACTCGACCATCTCTTTCCTCCGGCCGCCAGCAGCAACTGTCCAGCCGCGTGCACTCTCACCCCCTGCCCCCTGGGACCACAGCCGCGGCAGATAAAAGTCCCCTCCACTCTCGGTGATGAGCAATCACTTGGCTACATATACAGACTTTCCTTCAAGTTGCCGTGTACTCTGTGTGGGAAATAAGTAACTCAATAAATAAGCAAAACATTTTAAATAACCTTATGAGGCAGAAGCTGAAAAGATTTTACCTGGGACCATTTCTGCATAATCCAATGCTGATTTTAACAGGTTCTTCGCTCAGTCATTAACAAATGAACAAGCCTCATCTCTCACTGGTTCCTTCAACCTGTCACACCTCTGTGAATAGTCCCTTTTTTTTTTTTTTTTTTTTTTTTTATTTTTATTTATTCATGAGAGACAGAGAGAGAGAGGCAGAGGGAGAAGCAGGCTCCCAAGGAGCAGAGAGCCCGATGCGGGACTCGATCCCAGGACCCTGGGATCATGACCTGAGCCGAAGGCAGACGCTTAACCATCTGAGCCACCCAGGCGCCCAATAGTCCCTTTTTTAAACTTACTTCGACCAACCCTTTTAAGAGTGTGTCATGTTCCCCCCCACCCCCCCCCAAGCTAGGACTCTAGCTGAGATGCACGCACTTGGGAGGAAAGGCACTCAGGTACTCATCATCCTGCCCAGGCAGCCAGACCAGGCAAGTCAGTCTAGGGGGACTGCCTCACAACCAGTAATGAGAATTATTCTGTTTCTTCCACCACAAAGGCCTGGGGCACCAAGCACGCAGCACGACAGTCCCTACCTTGACTCTTTCTCAGCTCTGGAGTGAAATCCTGCTCTTCCCCAGTCTCCTGGATGTATAAGGGCTCCCAACCTTCGCATTTGTGACTGGTCTCCACAGACTGCGGCTGCGTGTTGCCTGGAAACTTTGCTGTTCCTGAAGAGGACCTCTTCTCCCAAACCTGTTGCTGTTCATTTGGAGGAGGTGAGACCTAGAGACAACCACGAATGGCGGGGTTTGTGCACAGCTCACCTCAGAACTACAGGTGACCCCTGAACACGGGTCTGAACTATGCAGGTCCACTTATACACATATATAATTTTTTGATACATCCAGTACAGTAAATGTATTTTCTCTTCCTTATGGTTTTCTTAATGTTTTCCTTTCTGTAGCTTACTTTATTATAAGAACATGGTATATAACACACATAACATACAAAGTAAGTGTTGACTGACTGTTATTGGTAAAGCTTCCGGTCAACATTAGGCTATTTATTTAGAAGTTAAGCTCTGGGGAATCAAAAGTTGTATTGGGATTTTCAAATGCACGTGCGCTGAGGGGAGGGGGGTGACAACCCTAACCCCTGGGTTGTTCAGACTTTTCAACTGCAGAACGAAAGAAAGCCTCAGGAGAGCTAAGGTACAACTGCTAGGAAAAAGAAAAGAAACACATCCATCTCATTCCATTCCCACGGCTAAAGATCAATACTGGACAGAAGAAGAACAGGAGGAAACATGATCTAAGTCAGCAGAAGCTTCCATTCAGCCCCTCCCATTGGATGGATAAACCCAGTCCTGCCCAGAGTGCTCTATTCCCAGCCTCACAGCATGTAAGTTCTCCCCAGCCCACCTGTTGTCCTGGCTCGTCCAGTTCCTGCTCCAGGTCTTCTAGGAGAGTGACGGCCTCTTCGGCGCTCTCCGGGCAGTGCTCCTGCACCCAAGCCTGGAGCTCCTGGGGCAGGATGGTCAGGAACTGCTCCAGCACCAGCAGCTCCAGGATCTGCTCCTTGGTGTGGATCTCGGGCCTCAGCCACTCGCAGCAGAGCACCCGGAGCTGGCTCAGGGCCTCCCGGGGGCCAGGCGTGTCATGGTAGCCAAACTGCCGGAAGCGCTGGCGGAACACCTCCAGGCTAGGAAGGCTCTGCCCTTCCTCTTCATCCTCATCTTTAACCACCACAGGTCCCCTCTCCCGTGGAGGCCGAGGGCCCCGAACTGCAGCCATGCCCAAAACCTTGGTCATCACACAGATTCCAGAAACAGTCTCACTAGAGATGGGACTCTGTGGAGCAGGAAATATTGGTTCCTCTGGGTTTCTGGTTCTTTAGGGCTCCGCGTTAAACCTGAGAAAATACGGTTACCATAAATTACAAAAAGAAAAAAAGGATGCTTTTTAGGTCTTGACAGCCACACCTTTAGCACAAGAAATTGTGGAAATTACAGCTACCATAAAACTATCATACAAAAATTACTGTTCAAAATCATTCGGGAGTCAGTTCAGGATATCCTAATCTTGCATTGTCTCCACTCAAAAAAAAGGGCACAATGGCATACTTTTAAAATTAAATTTAAATTAACTTTGCTCCAAAAACTGTTTCAGAATCTTACAACTCCAAGATTTCAACAGGATATCTACAGGCCAAATGCAGCCTTCCAAATCTAAGACTTTGAGCTTCAATATTAAAAATTTGCTAGCCAAGGATGCATGACTGGCTCAGTCAGTAGAACATGCGACTCTTGATCTTAGGGTCGTGAGTTCAAGCCCCACATCAAACTCCCTACTTCACTAAATAAATAAACAAACAAATAAATAAATAAATAAATTGCTAGTCAAACGATGGAGCTAGTCAGCATAACCAGGAATCATGTTAGAGGGTTGGAATTAACTAGAGTATTTTAAAATAATAATAATTTAGAGTATAATTAATGATGTAATTTAAAAAATCTGTTTTTCAAAGATCCCATTTATTTATTTGAGAGACTGCAAGGATGTGGGGGGTTGGGGGGAGACAAGCAGACTCTGCACTGAGCTCAGAGCCCCACGATCCCATGACCCTGAGATCAAACACTGAGCCGAAACCAAGAGTCGGACGCTTAACTGACTGAGCCACCCAGGTGCCCCAATGATATAATTCTGAGCTTCACTTGACCCACTTTTAAGTAGGGCATATGCAAGTTTTTAAATGTCCTTTACCTTTAGGTTTCACAGAAAGACAAGTGGAATGACAGAGATTAAACTAACAGTAACCTATATTCTTACAGAGGTATTTATTTCGATGAGATATATATTGCTGAGAAGGAACTGAGGGGAAAAAAATTAAACCAGAGATGATACAAATGCAAAGTGCTTAAAAGTATTTTTCTTTTAAATATCAAATATTATAAACATATCGGTCAGTTCATACATTAGAACACCCAAAACATCTGTAATAAATATAATTACTTCTATTTTCCTCATTTGCCAAAAGTGAAGTCCATCTAGTCAACATTTACTTGAACGCCATGGGCTTGGAGCTGGGAGTGCAGTGATGAGCAAGCCAGATGCACTCCCACCCCCACGGAGCTTTCAAGTTTGTGGGAGAGATGGAAAATAAATGAGTAGAGACATCTGAATCAGACTACAATTATCAGCATTCATTAAACATATTCTGAAAGACACCTTCATAAATCAGCCTTCCATGCTTGTGACTGGCTTTCCTGAGCATGTTTCCAACTGTTAAGCAGCACTTGTCATGTGTCACATAGATGTCCCACTCTGGGTGTGGATAATTGAGAGCAGGAAAACTCCAGCAAAGTCTCAACAAAGAGCCAAACAGATAAAAACCTACGTGGGTTTTTGTTATGTGAAACTATGCTGATAACAAGGGTAGAGACCATAAAAATGAGGCACAAATGACTTACAGAAGATGAGGAAACAGGAGTCACAAATAATCTAAATCTAAGGCATTTAAAAACTTGAGTATGAAAAAAATAAAAATGAAAATAAAAACTCGAGTATACTCCTGGCTCACACGCACGTCGTTTTCCATGGATCTGGCTTGTA